ATATATCATTTTTATATTAATTTTTTATGTGATAAAAATGTTAGATATTATTATTTTTTAAAAAACTATTTTAGTGTTATTTTTATAAAAAAATATTAGTATAGCCGTTAAACTTAGATATGTAAATAGAATTTGGATGGTATGTATGTAAATATCCTAAAAATAAAAATTTAAATTAACTGTAGATTTAAATGTCCCTAAGAAATACAGAATTTAAATTACCTAACTGCCAACGTCCGCCGATATTTATTAAGTACAGAGAATTTGGGTGGTATGTATGTAAAATTCCCTAAATAAATAAACGATAAATTAGGTGATGAGGCATTTTTAGTCCCACATGTGTAAATACTGAGCCCTATGAAGAAAAATTTTGAGCGGTAAGAAAATTAAATCTTTCAACCAATGCTAAGTAAGATTTTTTTTTATTAATAAAAAATTGATTAATTATTTTGTGCAGCTATTAACGAGCTATTTCGAACAGAAATAAAACCAAACGAGCAAAATTCGAATAAGAGCTCAGCTCGCGCATGTTCGTCATTTATACCCCTATGAATTAGAGAAAGAATAGTTATTCAATTGCAATTGGCTCGAAATTGGATTAAATCTACTTGAGTGGGCCAATTTGATTATCAGATGCAATAGGCTAAAAAACACAATTCTGATTTCATTAAGATACTCAAATGTCCTCAAAATAGAGTAGTTCAAATTTTTTCTTTATTTGTAGAGAAATGTCACTAGAAAGAGTTTTGTTTTCTTCATGAAAGAGGAACTGGGGACTAGTTCGACATTGAACCATAGGAAGAGCTGAACTTGGAGTAGGAGCAGGAAGAATAAGTTGAATTTTAGTGTCATCTCACACCGAAAACCCGAAGAATAACACCCGCTCCTGCAACCACCGCCAGCCATCGACTGCCTCTCTGTTCGTTGCAAAGAAACTCCTTGTCAAATCACAACATGCACTACTGGATCTCAAAATACGTTGCGGAGCGGCGACGCACCTCAAAGATGGTGTACTGAAGTTTGATCAACTATTCCTAAGAACATTCACCCTTGAACATTATGCAACAAAAAGTTGTGCACCGTGGAACTGTGGAAGTGTCCAACAATATTTCCAACGATATTGTGAAACAGATATTGACTTTATCGTAAACAATATTGTTTATATCTGTGATTTTTATTATTTGCGCTTGAGATTGATATAGGGATCTTTTAATCAATATTGAACTCGAGAAATAGAGATAATATCTATAGTTTTCTAGAAATTAAGTTCTACAAAATTACTGAATTTTGGATTAAAGTAAAGTTTATTATTTTTATTTTTGTTTTATTTGGTATGGGGATGGTAAAGTCAATCAATCAGAGATTATTAAAGTTTCTAATTATAACTAACAAGGCATTTGTTTAAGGACATGCATTTACCTTTCTATTGTTCGGAAAGGGATTTAGAGTTTAGGGCAAATGGTAGAAGGCCGAATCAATCTAAATTTTGATCGAGCCGATCGAATTAAAATTTAATTCCATTTAAGATAAATGACTATCTTATGAACGAATCAAAATTTAACTATTTATTGGAGTATGACTAAGAATAAAAATTTCAAATTACATATAATACTTACATAATATCGATTTAATTCCATTAATATTTTATTTATTTCAATCAATATTTAATATAATAAAAATGTATTTTTTATAATTTATTCTAAAAGAAAAAGAAAGTATAGAATAAAAAATTTTAAAAATGAAAATTTTATTTTTTGGTTTTTTGGGTTAAATGAAAATTAAAATAGAATCAAAAAATTGAAAATTAAAAATTGATGTTTTAAAAATAAAAAATTTAAATCCAATTTTGAAATCGAGCCTCTCGGTTCATTTTTTAGATTTTGATCAAATACTGCTGACGCTTGAGATTGAGCCGATGCAAGAAAGACTCGTAATTTTGCTTTTTGTGAAAATGATTTGATAGTTTTTCAGCCAGGAACTCTTGATGCGTGAAGAATGTGTATAAATAAAATTAAGAAAGTAAAAATAAATAAATAAATAAATAGCTATAAGAATGCAATAAATTATTTTAGTATGGATTTGGAATTATTATTTTTTTCTTAAAAATCAAATAAGTTTAATTAATTTTTAATAAGTTTTAACATTACAAATAAAAGTTAAAAATAAATAAATAGATGAATGCAATAAAAAAAGATTATTATTCCCTGCTTAACCAAAAATGGTGAAGCAACCTTCTGAGCCTTCTTAATGAAAAAGATAATTAGAATATTTTCTTCACAACACGATTCACATGCAATATATATATATATATACTCTTTTTAG